TAGTTGCGTGCTGAGTAAGTGGCCTCTGTTGGAAGATGGACTTGAGGTATTGAGGCCATACAGTAATGGGCTGGGTGTATAGCTGCCAAAGGGAGATGGACGAGAAGTGTTGAGGCCATATGGTGATGGGTTGAGTGTACGGTCTCCATAGGGAGGTGGACCTGAGGTGTGGATAAGGCCATACGATGATGTGCTGGCTGTATGGACTCCGTAGGGCGATGGACGAGAAGTGTCCGTGCCTTTTGGTGATGGGCTGGGTGTATGGTCTCCGTAGGGTGATGTATTGATGGTGTTGGAGCTGTCATAAATTTATATTGAACCATAAATTACATTTCAGTAAACACAAAGACACATGGCAAATGATTACAAAAAACTGGCAGAATTACCTATAAAATAATCGTTTTATACTTAGACACAGAACATTTGTTACAACCCAGGTTGGACAGGTAAAGCCGTAACAACATTTCAATACCAGGGTTTTTCCTGCATTCAAATTTGCGTGGCGGCCGCCTCCAGCAAATTTTGGACCGCCCCAGCCTGATTTCACTCTGCCCCCAACTTTATGGATGTTATTTTAACTGCAGTTGCAGCATTGCGTCACTATAGAGCGCTGTATCAGCAGCGGTGCACCGAAAAGTACAAACACCACTACAGAAAAAAATCAAAAATGGCTTTTCTCGCTAGTTGGTGGTACATATCTATGGTTGGTGCTATTAACGTCCTGATTTTCCCCCAGGCTCTTCCAAATCAGAGCAGGGCTGTACAGTCCGATGAAAATAACTGTCTGTGCGTGTCTGTCTACTTTTAAATGTAGCACTGGTGCAACATCTTTGAATTACTATTTTCCCCAGAACTTTCTTGAAAAAAAGTAAGTTACGTGTAAGAAAAATGCATTTTACTGGCACACAGTGTGGTCATCTGGATGCAGTGGAGGAAAATAAAGGAACCAGCAAAGGCAGAACCGGTCCAAAGTTTGGGATCAGTCTCACGATCAAGTGACGCACAGAAAAACATATGATGATGGTAAAACTAAGAAAGACTAAACTCTACAAGTGGATGAAAAGTCCCCACCATCCTGTTTATTCTGCATCCTGCAGCGCTACGGATCAGAACCGCTGCAGATACGAGTCACATTACTGCTGGTGCCGGATGTACGGCAAGCTGTTGTAATATATAATTCACAAATGCTTCTATCTTTGAACATAATTTAAACTGGATTATTGCCAACCTGTACATAATAGACATGCCACCATTACATTGTTAGCAGCATAAATTAAATGTTATTACCATTTCCAATACAAATGCATGTTAATGACATGCATTATATTTTACTGGATATATTTATGTGTTATTTTGACTAAGATGAGTGTTATTAATACAAACCTAAAATATTACTGAAATGTAGGTCAAATATTAAAAAATAATTTAACTACAAATATAAGATGGAAAAAGGGAACTAAACACCAATCTAGTGCACATTATTGAGCGTTTTATAATAAGAGTCTTATTTCAGCCTGATAATTTTGTTTTATTTCATATTTTTTAGCAGCAAACCAGTTTTGTTTCATTTGAAATGTTGTGAAATGGAATATTCAATCAATCAACAGAAGCTTAGATTAGAACATTTAACGGAAAAATATTTAGCCTTTCAAAAAGTGAGGCTAATTAAATGCACAGAGTACGCATGTGCTGGTGCATGGTCAGGATGGTACCACCTCTGCCTCAATTTGAGCCAGGAAAAACCCTGAATACTAAACTTAATCAAGATTTTGTAATTATTATTGTAAGCCTACCTGTAGGATGGTGGGCCACCGGAGCTGCGGCTTGTTGCATGCCCCGCGTCAGGTGATGCATTCATGGCTGGGATTTCCTCACCATGTTCAGACAGTGGGCTTCTTATAATGGTGTTGGACTCTGATGAGTGTAATGGCACATTCTCTTTTAACATTTTCAAAAAGGACTTCTGTGAAGTTTGGTGGCTTTTTGGCAGCTTAGAATGATCCTCCCCTGAAATATATTCAACAGTGGCCCTATAAAATTTACCATCTGACCACTTTGCTAAAACATGATCTCCTGATCTAAGATCTTGCAGCTGCACAGGAGCCTCATCTCTTGACAAAATGTCAACGCCTGTAAAGATTTTGCCAGTATAACCGTCTTCCCATCTGACAAATACATGACACCCTGGGGAAGAAAGAAAGCAACTAAGACATTTTCTATTTAGTCACAACAACTTACACAGTTACTTTTGTAGGGGTGCACCGATGCAGTTTTTTGCCCAATCACCAATCTTGAGAAAAACCTGAGTGGCTGATTTCGATTTTTGTTTTGACATTTATTTATCATCACTCAGATCAGCTGATTCACGCCAATCTGACCCTCCGCAGTGTGCTACAGTGCAGCACGGAGCAAGAGAGAGGTGCTAATTTCAGGCTAGATCATCTTAATCAATCAGAGAAACTGGTAAGAACTGTTAGGGAAATTTGTTCAAACTAAATCACAGGAGATGTCCAAAATGTTTCATAATCCTGTGTGTTCATCATGTATTAAAAAAAAAACAACTGCATTTGGGGAAATCCAGATTAAAGCGAGGATCAATGCACGGGTGGAGACGTATTTCATCCACACTTTCTGTTAGGAAAACGCCTCTGAAAGAGGTGTCTCCTGGTGGACCGAGAGAGCAGCGCTGAGGCAGTAGTAGACCCCCCCCCCCCCCCCCCCACCCGGCGCATGAAAAAGGGGAGGAGGGCATTTTTTTTTAAAGAGACAAGCGGCTCAGAGCGCCAACGTGTCATATCGGCAGGTGAGTGGCTGAGCCAGGTGGGGGTGCAGCTGCCTCACCTGGAGACCAGTGCAGTGCAGCCACGTAGTAATTTGCTGATAACAACACGTTTTTCAGCTTAGCCATCAGCCACAGCTGGTTCCACATACATGTGGAGCAGAGTTTTTAACCTGAAAATGGAGATATAATTATGGTTTTGGGCTGAAATATTAAATTTAAAGTAAGTTGCACTTAACTGCCACACTTATGATTACACATGTGCACAGCACCATTAGACACTCATCTATACAGGTTCTCAGCAAAAAAAAAAAGTGTATTTAGGGCGTTACTTGCTCTTTAACAAGCACAGACAAGACTCACCCAGCAGATTTTACCGAGGATGTTTTTCTGCATATAATCCAACTCTTTATACCCAAACTAGGTCTGGATAGCGTAACCTCATGTTTTTTTACAAGCACATTGTCATCTACATGCTGCGCTCTACAGCAAGAGCTGCTGCATTTGGCACAGAGCTGACCTCCATGCTCTTCAAAGACTGTCATCAGTTAGCGCATCCAGTTAGCCAATATGTAATTATATATCACATGCCAAAGCCCTACCATAAAAATTGTTTTCACATGGAAATATGGACCGATTTTGATCAGCCCCTGCTCAAAGACATCGATGCCGATTGATCGGTGCACCCCTAATTTTTAAATCATATATGTAATGATTATTGCAGCACAACATAAAGCCTATATAACAGACACACTAACAGTTGACAGTATTATTTAGACACTTACCAGATTGTTCATTTAGCAGAGGGGAGTGCTGCAGGTCCTTCATTTTCTGGGTTGGAACCCGTAACCTTTTTTTGCCTGGCATTTTTTTGTTTTCCATTCTGTTAATTAAAACATAAATTCAGCTTCCACTTTTTCTTATCACAGCCAGTTAGCTATGCCACGTCCAACGGTCTGAGTAAAATGACTGTGGAATTCTTAGACATATTTATGACCCACTCCAATGAAAATCATGTTTTTTTCCTGTTTATAACATGTTCATGATGTATTTTTCTTATGTTACAGCTACTGCAGCAACAAGTTATTTTCAGCGCTCAAGTCTTGGGTCTTTCATATGGATCAAAATTGTTCATAATGTGGATTTTGTACATGTAGCTGTCCCTTACGTCTTTATTATCCCTGTATATTCCGCATCCTTGGGATTTTGACATGTTTTACACTTTCACCTAAATCCCCTCCTTATCTGCACATTTCACATTAGTTTACACTTGTAAGTCCGCCACAATTTCTGTCTCTGTGCACATCCCAGAATGCTCTGCGTAATCATGTGATCACAAGGCGCCAAATGAAGAGAACATAAAATATGCTAAATACTCATATCAAGAAAAACACAGTAGCGACAATGCTAACTCGTCCTTTTCAAATAATAGTACTTCATATTAAAGCCCAAACTCTCATCTTTCAAACTATATAAGTATCATTACTCTAGTGTAAAGCTCACAGAGTTACGAGCAAACGAAGCAGCGCAAAATAGCAAATTTCATGAAGGAAGCCTTTAATGTCAAGGCCACAAAATTAATGTGAGTTGTGGAAGCTAACTATCAAAGATTTATGCTAACGCCATCCACCTCTCCGTCTTCTCAACTGAAAAATATTTGACATCTTTGCAACGTTATTTGTGTTACATGCCATGGTAACTAATATATATTTTTGATTCTTACCTTGCTGGAACAAAAGGTAAAGCTTCAACGACCGACCAACGGACAGTTCTCTCTTGCTCACTTTTTTTTTCTCTCGGACTTTCCCGCACTCGAAACCGCTTGAAACCTGTTTTCATGCTATGGTCTTTTAGAGGCCAGTGTCACGTGACATAATGCTGTCCCCCAACAGGGCGGGATTCTAATCTAGAACAACATACTCTCGCGAGATTTGACATAGATCTCTGACCTGACTTGGGAGAAACATCACAGCGCAAGAACAACAACTAAAAGTAAGTAAATTGTTTTTGTTTTCCTAAATTATGCGCTCTTAAACACATACAAGGTAGGAGTCGTTCTACTACAGTAACGTCACTGCGTTGCATAAAAATGATCTAAATATATTCAACCACGTCCGCGATCACCTATCTAAGATGCCTAGCCACACCTAGCTAAAGCATGTATGTTTACTGATACATAAAGCGTTACATATACCCCCCCCCCCCCCCCCCCAACCATTCTCGATCATTCTATCCTACTTACTGAAGTTACCTAGTCTTAATAAACAGTTATATATTATTTCTAATAACATTTAATGCTCCAATAGCGACGTATTGGGTGCTGTACAGCTGCATGTTGGGATAGCTAGATGTCTAAACAACTGAAGCGTTGGTTGCTTTGTGTTGTGAGTTTGTTAAACTGCAGAAAATGGTACACTCTTGTTGTGTAAAGGGCTGCCATGCTAACCTTCACAAGAAGGCAAAAAGGTTAAATGTAGGCTGGAGTCACGGTAATCGTATTTGGCCGTTTATTTTGATAGAGAAATCTTAAGGCTGTTGGTCATACTGACAGACTGTAATTACCCCGACGCATGCATGTGTGAAGACATTTTAAACGTTATGCACAGAGACTGCGGAGGTAACAACAAGATTCGCATCTGAGCGTTGTCTCAAACGTGGACACCATGATCAGTGCAGCTCGCTATCAGCACGCTGAGGAGCTGTAGAGAGCATCTTGGAGCATGTCTGATAGCCAGCCAGTCTCTGTTTAATTCTGCACAGAGACTGAGTCAGACTCCAGAACCAGACCACAGCAGGTAAAATCTTCCTACTTTAAGTGAAATCGTTTAATTGTGGCATTATTATGTTGCTGGACACGCTGGCCAGCTTGTTTAGAGTAAATATAATAGAAAAATTTATGAAAATTAAATTGTGAATTTTTATATTATTTGAGAGATGAAAATGATGGTAGGAAAGGATCAAGACCGTTTATTTTACAATTATTAAAACTAAACAAAGTAAGATATCATAAAACAAATGAAAGATGATTACAAATTCCAATTAGATACAAGAAAACAAAATATTTTAGTAAAAGCAGCTTTAACTAAAAGTGTTTTAAGCTGTTTTTAATGGTGTCCAGACTGTTAATACTACTTAATAGGGTTGTATTGGTACCCTAAAATCCTAATCAGATCGGTCAGTGTTTTTAAGAGCTCGGTTCGATCAATTTTAGGAATATTATTATTATATCTATTTATGTAATTTTTAAAGTGGCTCCTACAGTGAGCAGAATGAGGTGTCATCACAGGCTGCTGATCTAGCATGATGTCTTTAATTATTTGACAGGTTATTTGTGCAGCTATGAGGGTCACGTTCATACAAACAAGTGTTGTGTTTGACTTTTGATGGTCCGTGTTTTTATTTCTGCAGCGAGCCTTACAAACTCAACTCACACCGCCCAGAGTTTCTTCTTTAAAAGTTGTATAAAATAATGTGCTTCCTCAGCATTTTTTGTTGTAGGATGAAAACTTTACATCAGTTTTTCCAGGGAAAAGGTTTGGCTGATGTGTTTGTTTACATTTAGCCGCTGCGTGCCTGCAGTGTGAGAAGGGACAGAGGGGCAGCGCGACACTCCGTTAAGCGTCTTTACAGGCTCCAGTAGCAGCGACAGCCAGCTGGTTTGGTCCGCTCTGAAAGGCGTTAATCAGAATTAGCAGATCACATTTCTTAAACGGAGATCGGGCACATGCAGCCATCATGCATCACTAAATACAGCGGCTGTGCGGAAACTCGCCTGGAAACTTTCATCTGCTGCACTTAAATCACACAATAAAAATGCATTATTTTACGAAAAAAAATATACTGAAACGGTACGCAAGTGGACTGAGCTGAAACAGTTAAACGTTTCATTATTGAGGTAAACTCCTTAATATATTGTGATATTGATTTTAGGCCACATCGCCCAGCCCTACCTTGTAGAGACCTGAATTGACACTTGTTAGAAAGTATATTTTTGTTTATTAAAGATTTGATTAGATGTAAACCCCTTTACTGAACAAAGACTTGATGCTTCATTATAAAATATTTTAACTTTTGCAAAAAGTTCCACTGTATATTCCAGTAACTTGTGTCTGTTTTTATATAGGATTAGGGTGTCAAAATGACCAGACCAAAACCTGGAAAACGATGGAGGAGGACCAGTAATGAAGATGGCTCAAATAAACGACCAAGAAGGATTTCACAATTGGTGAGTAGCCTGTCATAGATGTGTTACAGAAAAATCTGCTGCAGATTAATAACCTATTTTTCTCCCTGCAGTCATCCCTTTTTGCAGCCACTAATGTTCATGTGGAGACTGATGAGCAATATTTAAGTAAGTTATGAAATGTGCATATCTTTTACTTTTTAGATTAGATTGGGATTTATTTTAAACATCTTTTAAATGTGCTAGCTTCGTGAAATAACTAGCTCAGTGGTCTAGTGGTAGAGTGTCCACCCTGAGACTGGGAAATTAGGGTTCAATTCCTGATCAGATCATAACAAAGACTTAGACCCAATGCCTCCCTGCTTGACACTCAGCATTAAGGGTTGGGTTGGGGGTTAAACCACCAAATGGTTCCTGAGCACGACTCTGTCTGCAGCTCACTGCTCCCCCAGGGGATGGGTCAAATGTAGAGAATAAATTTTGCACACACATCAGTGTGTGTGACAACTAATGGGACTTTAACTTTAAATTATATTTAAACATCCCACTGTCTCTATGGGTGACCCCGCGAGGAAAGTTGACCATTGAGCAGGGTTGATGGTTTATTCCTTGGGTCCACGTGGCAGGGGTGAGGAGTGAGCACCACCTCACCCCTGCCACGTGGACCCAGTCCCAAATAGAGAGAAGACAGATGTCCTGAGCACAGTTGTTTTGCAACTCACAGGTCCTATAAATAAATAGAACACAGTCCACAGTTTGTCAAAAAATTGCATGGAAATATTGTTTACACGTGTCTGGATTTAAGTAGCACATGTAAATAACAAAATATAAGTTATCTTGGGATATATAATCATGTATTCTTTAAACTTTCACCTTTTAAGTTAAAGCTGTTAATAACATAAGGGCAGGATCCTTTCATAAACACTAGGTTTGAAGGTTTTGACTTTCTCCTTATATTTTAAAAATTAGTGTAGGTCACTGTGTGGCTGCAGCCTTTGCTCCAGTCAGGGCATTCAAGTTGACATTGTTGTCCTATTAGTGAGTTGAGAGCTAGAAGTGTATAAAATGTCCCACAGGCACTTTAATTATATATTCATAATTAATGTAAAAATTTTAAATTTCCTCTAGAGATGGACAATATTGTATATTTCTTGTCCAGAGAAAAATAATCTATCATGTTTAACTAAATTTATGATGATGTAATTGCATCTACTGAAGATCACATGGGTCATGCACCATGGAGTTATTAGTTATCAGGGCAAACATGGCTGGAATCTAACAGTATTGCCTCATATCAGCGATTATAATGTAATGACTCAGAGTCTCTGGTTGCTCTTTTATTAGTATTATTTTCAGACAACTGTCGCCGTAGCCCACGCCTTACAAACTCTTAGCTTTTTTAACAGAATCGCTCGTAACGGAGTATTTACTAGCATAGCGAACCAGAGTGGAAAAAATGAATAAAACGGTACCCCTATAGTTTGCTATTGAAACCCTTACAATACGTTTGAGGTAATTTGGCCACTCAGGCTGTCCGTAGATGTTTCCCGATTACACGGGAGGGAGGGGTTTGGCTCGTCTCTCCGCACAAGCACAGTGGATAAACAGAACTCCATTGGTGATGAATGGCCCCAAATAATTAAAAACCAGGACCCAAATGCAAAGTTTAGAGCAGCACATTTACTCAGAGGCTCTCAGATTGAGCAAACTTGTGAGAATACACGTAATAACCGCTTAGAGACAGAGCAACATGTCGCTAGCATAGCGGCTAATCGCTATCATAGCAATTTGGCCAGTTATATCAATATAAAGATATAGTCATAAAGTCTACAGAGGGTGGTGGGATCTGAGTGACATTTCATTAACCCTGTAGTGGCTCTAGGCAAGGCAAAGCAGCTTTATTTGTATAGCACATTTCAAACACAAAGGAAATTCTAAGTGCTTTACAGAATTGATAATTATTTAAAAATATGGAAAAGTTGCATAGTGTGCCTTTTAATTAGAACAAATTAAGATTAAATATTACCGAATATGCGATGATTAGGCCGTCATTTTACATTTGACTGAATAGGCTATGACCATCAGTAAAAATCACTGAAAAAAAATCCAGTGTTATTTTTGATCTGCAGTAAAGCCTAATTCATACGTCTCCATCACCTCCACGAGGGAGAGACGCACAGACGAAGACGTTTTGCCTTCAGACTTCCATCTCCTGAGGACTGTTACAAAACAATTCCCTGCCAGGACACCAGAGGGCGAAGCGCTGTTCTGTGGTGTCCTGTCATGTCAGACTTTATAACACGGACAAATTTGTCCCTTATCCTCCTCCACCTCTTTATGCGCTCGCCACCTCTAAATCCACATTTCCCGTCATTCCCGCCCACGAATAAAACACTTGCTGTGCATCTTTTCACTCCATTCATGGGTGAATAAACGTTTAAATTTGTAGAGTTTTTCTGCGAGGTATTCTTGTAGCTTCTCCCTGTCTGCCGCTAGATATCCTCAGCTTTCTTTATGATTTTGAGGGTGCAATGTCAGCGCAGTTGACAACAGCAGCGTTCTGACCAATCATAAGCTTGTATTCTCCGTCTCGTCGAATGAATGTTTAGAAAAGAGAGTTAGACTCCATCCATTCTTGCGAGCCTGCTGGAGAGCCCTCGAAAGGACAAATACTGGCGTTGCGTGCATCCGTCCCTTTGCAGATGGAGAAGTATAAATTAGGCTTAACTATGAACACATAACATCCTTTTTATCCTTCTTTAGCACTTGGTACCAATAAGCACAGCTTGATTACATTATACAAATTTGCTATTGTGGTATGCCTGTAGAGACAATCTCCATTGTTGGCTAAGTTTATATTGTTTCTACCAAGTACTGTTAATGTCGCTCACTCCCAGGTTTTGATGAGTGGAATTCAAGGATGTGTATTATGTGTTATCAAGAACACACAGATGTAAACATAAACTGATACAATGTGATCAAGATGTGGAAGAAAAAAAAATACACACCCCATTAGTAGTATTTTAATCATCTTTAAATAATTTCTAGTGAATCCTGATTCAGATAAAGGTATGATTTATTCATATGTCCTCTTCACTGTCAAAAGGTAGGGAAGCACAGCAGAAGGGTTTGCCTCCTGGAGGAGACCAAAACACTACACTTGAAAAGGAACCTATCCAACCACCAGATATCCATGCAGGATGTGCCCCACTCTCTGAACTATCAAGTCTCTCACCGATTGCCAGGTACACTCATCCTCTTTTGTCTGCCTGTCTCTTCATCCAAGGATGCACAGTATTTTTTGTCAATGGGTAGATTCAGCTAGTATAAGAATTGGATGCACAGGCTGAGACTACGTAAGATTTGCATTGTGACATTAATTATTTGTGTTTTATTTTATTTTTTACCAGCACAAAGCGTGGTACAAGAGATTGTTTCAACTATTGACTCTGTCAAAGACTGTGAAGAACCAACTTCCACATCAGTCATCAGAGATCCTCCTGATGACCTAATAACCGAACTACATAGCAATGCTGAGTATGCTCCATCTCATTCATTTTAGGAAGATGTGGGGGATTGGACGTATGATGATGCCATAGCTGAATTTTACATACATATGACCAAAGATGATAGTTTCTGTGTGGAAAACCATGATTTGTGTAGGACTAAACTATATGGAGCATCTAATAAACTTCAACTGGACACAGTTCACCACTCTGCTTTGGAAAGATGTGCTGGTCACTGCATCAATTCTAAAACAGTAAGGGTCTTTCACAGGGCACAAGTTAAGAGGAATTATCTCACATCAAAACACTATGGGAAAGGCAATAGAAGAAACAATTTCACAGTTGTTTTTTCTAGTGAAGGACAGATAAAATATGGAAAGATAGATTTCTTCTTTATCACGGAACAATCCTGTGACAAATGGGTTCTTGTTCATGAATTCAAAGATGCAGGTTTTTCTTTGCTGCAAGATAGTAGAACGAATGGTACATGCAGTCATGTTGTTCCACTTGTGGAAACTTCTGTCAGAACAGTGGTTCCCTTGGATTGTATTTTGGGTAAAGTTGCTTACCTTGACATCTATGCCTGTCATAGTGTTTGTAGCTCATTTACCAAATACACTTGAAAGGTTTTAACCATTAAGACCAAAACTGACCAATAACAACATTGACCTCTGTATTTTTACTGTTCTGTATAACACAACTTCGCTGTGACTTCTGTAAAAAGCAACCATTTTCATTTATATGTTTACATAACTGTTAATTAAATTGACAATGCAATGTAAATATCTAGAAATTTCATGAATTAAAAAAGATATCTTGAGCACATTGTGGCTTAATGTGCTATACAGTTTTTAAATGTTAACTTAAAGCTTAAAACTGTAATTAACAAGTTATGACATGTAAGAATTCAACAAGTTTTGGATGGAAGTTGAACATTATGTAAATATAAACCACAATTGAATTGATAATGTATTTTGTCAAGAAATAAATGGATTTAGTGTCATTTGAGAGCGCATTTGATTTTGTTATGAAACTGATCTAACTTAGTGACGTCATGCATTGCTCACTGAGACATAACTGAGATAGGGATTTGAAGTAAGGATATCATATTGAGACATTTTTGAGAGTGCATTTCATGTCTCATTTTTAACTTATCTGAGATCAGGAAAAGAGACAGTTGTAAGAGGATTTTGAGATTTCAGACAGTGCTCACTGTAAGATTTATTTCTCAGGAGAAACATTTGAGAAGAATGAGAAAACCACTTCAGTCTCAATTTGTGCTTATTTGTATCTAGGAGATGTAAATGTGACAGAAATGAGATCTTATCTTCAATTTTGCTTTGC